TCAAAAAGTTTATCAAAAACTTATAAAATACATTATTTGAGTAGCGCAATTATTAAGGTAAGCAGTTATGTAACAAATTGTCAAGTTGTGCTGGCACTAAAGGTGTCTCTAGACTGTATCTTGCTACGGAGCACCGAAACATCCCGCCATGCTGGCATGCATACCGGCGCAACTTTGCGGACAAATGAAGAAGGTTTAATAAGGAGTGAGGTGAAATCGAAGATATTCAAAGTGGCCAAAAGCCATGCAGGTTTTTCATGCCACGGAAAAGCTATGCTATTTTCCTAATTTCTCTAATTCCTATCTAAATTGTGTGCTGTAAAGCCCGTTAATTAATTTGAACATTCATCGTTGTTGATTTCGTTACTTAGCGACACGACCCATCTCACATATTTCACTCATTTAGGATATGGTATATTATTAAGACTGATTTTCTGGTTTCGTCATAACTTTGACTTAGAGAATCATCGAAGGCACTTTAAAAACTAGTAGAATTTAGCAGTAAAATGTTTTATCTTACATTTTGTCATTTTTAATATTCGAAGCAAATAGTGACAAGCCAACTCACTTTAAAAACTTAAGCAAGCGACTTGTCAAATAAATCATAGGACAGAAAGACGTAAACAGAACGACGCGTCCGTGGCATGAAAACAGTATCAGGGAGAGGGTAAGTGAGTGTATTCCTTTATGCGCCTTTCCTCTGTGTTTATCAACAAACAAAGGCTAGCAGACGGCTAAGCACATCAAAGTGGTCCGTGATAATGAGCTCCTCCAGTTTAAAGATTTACTATCGAAAAGGGAAATCAATTATTGCGATACTCCGCAAGTGTCTCACTAAATACGGAGCAAATGTCTCGTTGAAGCAGGCAACAGTCAGGCGATTCATCAAAATATTTGAAGAGACTGGTTCGTTCAAGGGTAAAATGGCGCCTGGGAGCGTACGAACAAGCCACTACATCGCTGCAGTATAGAGAAATGTGAATGTCGATCAAATGATCTCAACGCGATGTCGCAAGCAGCTGGGTCGATCAAAGGGCACTCTAGGACTCATCCTGAAGGAAGACTTACATCTTTATTTCTACAAAGTACATTTAGTTTCTTGATCCTATTCGAACCTTACATCTGCCTTCGAAAGCTTTCTAACTTGCACCTTTTCCTCGTAGTATTTACAGGAGGGCAATTCTTCTAGCTAAACATAAAGCAAGCTGATTAGGTACAACTCAGCCTTGTGTGCATGAAAAATCGTAAGCTTTTTCAAGGGTGATCTATTGATAAACAGGCTATGTTATTGTAAGGACATACATGCTCGTAAGTTCAAACACGTCAACTTTTAGAAGACATATTTAAACTGACCTAAATTCGATCGTATATTTTAGAGCAAGCATTAAACGTCAAATTTTTGCATCTCTATTATGCTGGCCTTCATTGTAGTTACCGAAAATTTGGTTATATAAGCTGAAACATGCAGCCTCTCTGATCAAGGACAGAAGCACGTCAAATCAGTTACCAATCAAATGTGATGTACGCATGAATTGTACGTACTCAAGTTTAATTTTTAGTTCAAGTTTTCATTTAGACATTTAGTTTTTATATATGACAACACGATGTATAGAAATTGGCAGCAACGTAAGCTACTGTGAAGAACGAATAGTTAAACTGTCTTTAGTTTTTTAGTTATTTAGCCGCCGTAATTTAAGGGAACCACAATTTAAGGGATTTCTACGCTGAATGAAAAAGGACATCGTTAAGTTATAATTATTAAGATTACGGCGTAAAGCAGTGTGGTGTGTTCATTCTTGACGAACCTATATTATGTCGAAGATAAACTGCTTCTTGTTAATACTGTCAAGCTGTTTGTTGCTTCTGCTCATGCTCTATTATATTACATTTATATGTAGCTGAGTTTAATATTGTCGACGTTCGAGGTCTACGCTATGAGACCCTGCAACTCTTGTGCAGCAACATTTTTACATCTGCTACAATGACAGCTGCTCTAAGCAATATTGTCGGAGTGAAAAAGAAAACATTTAGGGGTACTTTCTTAGATAGGAGTAGCAGTTCCAGCATCATTATGAGCAGGCATCGAAATCCTCTTGATTTTCCTGGTTGTCTCCTTCGCACCTTTCATTTTGCTACAGGTATCATTTAGTGGTGTTTCGTCGCTGCCACTCTTTCTAGCCGCTTGTCGTGTTGGCAACAGACGTCGCTCAAAAACAACAGCTGTCGTCGCATGACTGTTATCCCTGATAATAGGTATAGAGCGTGCACACAACGCAGGCGTTTATATGAACGACGTGTTATACACTAGGGATTGTTGCTTGAAGTTTCGCCAATAAGATATAATACACGGCCCGAGTGTACATATACAGTTTAGTACATAGTGAGTATGACACGCGCACCGTAAGTGCATTGCAAACGACGCAATCGCTAGGCGACGAAACGACAGACGCAGTAGTGCATCTACTACGCTGCTACTCGGTCTATGCACGGAAGCGCACCGCATCGCGCCGCACTATCCCGTGAGTCTTCGGAGCAGCGGTGGCCGCTGAAGCTGCAGCCGCAACTACGTTGTGCCAGCGCGATTCATTCGCACACGAAAGTGTCGGAGCCTTCTTCCCTTCTTTCAATGGGAGCTTGACGTTCGGTCTCGGGCAGTTCCACTACCGCAGACACCATTACGACTTCGGACTATACAACATTGGTTCGTTGAGCTACGATTAGCTGTATACCGAATGGCGTTGGCAACTCGTCTATTAGGATGGTGAAGGGATGATTGACCACGGACTGTTGTTGGCTGCGCGCGGCATGGAGTCGTCCGCTATTTATTTATTTATTTAATATTAACAGCAGCAAAAGCGGCCGCAGTCACAGTGCACAACGGCAACAGCAGCATCTCGGGCATTGAGGTATCAGCAATGTACGCGCGGAGTAAGCCGCCGCCGCCGCCGCCGCTGCCGATAAAGGAGTGACAAGTAGTACTCCGAATGGATTGCACGTAGACGCCAGTTAGTTGGGCATCCGCCGAATACAAGGCAGCTAGAAGCCGAAAGTTTGTCAGCGCGATAATCGCCTAAGTCTTACAAGAGAATATATAAGTGGTGAAGACTAACCAGCGGATAGATCGGCTGCTTTGGACAAACATCTTCGGTCGACTTCATCGACGCTGGCTGCAGCAGCAGCAAAACAGCTGTTGGAGCAGCGGATACGCAAGCGCCAACGAAAACATCAGAAACAACAAGGCCAGTTAGTGTACTATAGAGAGTGTAGCATATCATTGACAAGAACAGTCGTACTTCAAAGCGGTCGTACCAGTAATGGTGTCATATTATATCTTAGCATAACATTAGCAAAAAAGGCACCGTAGTGCAGGGCCGAAACAGCCGTTGCTAACCGTTAACAAGAGCGACAAACAGTGTATGGTTGGTGTCAAAGATAGTTTTACTTGACAAATATGTTCCTATAGCTTTCCCACTACCAGCTATAGCCGTTATAGCTATTCATACGGTTGATGATATTAGTGTGTTTAGCTATGGGTCCATATAAGGTTACAAGTCCCAGCTTTGGCCAATTGATTTCTTAACCGCTCATCCAACGGGTATACCCCGTTTCGTGAATAGATTCATTGCTGTTGTCAGATCTGGACAACCGCAGATCTTTCCGCCGACAGCTAGTTAGTTCTTTATCGGTGTTGCCTGATTACTCAGGATGCCACCGCTTGTTGCTAGTTGAACAAGAGGGCACGTACGAGAGCTCAGTCGGTGCAGACTTTCCTCGGTGGATTCGGTCGACAACAGTCTTCTGTTCCACAAACATTAACTGGCCGTGACACGGCTCTTGACCAGTGTTGATTGTTAGTGGACGGCTGGCGGATCGTTGATCATGATTTAAATGATGGGGAAGACGTTGCCGTAGCATGCGCTATGAATGTTTTGGATGCTCGCTATAGCCGTTATAGCATCTGATCTTGATACCGACTCTACGGTCACTCTCTTGGTACTGTTGTAGCTACGCGTAAGCAAATAGCATGAATCGCTCTCCAGTGACCCTATTGTTTGCGATACTATCGCGGTCGATTGCTTGACTGGCTCGTTGACTGGCAGCAGAAAGTGCATTGGCGTATTTCATGTTCCGCCAGCAGCGCCCGCACTGGCGCTATTTCGCTATGTAAGAGTTTCCTAGTATATTGTTGTTGCCGTTATAACAACTTATTCGTTAGGGCCTAGAGAGCAATAAGCGTCGATCTCTGACGTTAAACTGTACCTTTTATTAGCGCCAGTATTAATAGCGCTAATGCTAGGACAGCTATTGTGAAATGAGAATTTGTCGTATCCCCATAGCGTATATGTGTTATATGCTGTGGCCTGTGCGTTAAAACGTGTTTGTGAGTTGCTATAAGTTGTTTATCGGCGTTTCCATATAGATCGATATAGGAGACGTGGCTTATTCAAGGAGTAAGTAATGAATAATTATTACAAGTAGAGTGAATAAAAAAGCGGTAATGGATTGCTGTGAAATCGTGTTCGGAGATGGAATATTGCAAGTAAGCAGCTAGTTAGGTCGACATGCTATAGAACTAAACGGACTATCAGAATGAGAAACTTGTCTGCGAGACTAATACAGTAAAAAAAATGAGTGAATTTTATGACCTATGCCTATATTTGACCGCTACACCAATCAGCGGTTCCGGAAGGTTTGATATACTCAACCGCACGCTGTGGACTTTTGTAGAGACAAAAGATGGCGGTACCAGATGTGTAAGACGCAATAGGGAGTGCCGCCTTTCGTTAATATGATTATATTTGAAGATATCAACAATTTATTAGACCATCACAAAGATGTGGAAAATCAAGTAGAACAACTATTTGGTTAAGATGTTTGGAGATTTGACCTTGCTTGATCCACTTGAACACTGTCATCGTTTCCGGTACGGCAGATATACATCTAGCTTGTACATTGTATGGTAAGATTGTATTTGGACGATTTCTCCACAGGATGAACATAACCAATAACTGGAAAAGTCTATATATTGAACTAACTTTATAGTCAATAGAACATTAAGTAACTTACATTACAAAGAAACCTGTTCTTCCCATGAGACTGCCGTGGGCAATTTGCATATAATATAATGCTGTTTTGTTTAATTTGTCGTCCAGTAGTTGCTGTTCGACTATAGAACCATCTGCTGATTGTCTGGAATTAACCATAGGTCGACACCGAACATTTTATATACACGTAATTTGTAGACATTCTATAATAACATGTGCTATCATGCATAGTAAAATAAACATGGTGTTAATATCAATAGGAACTAGTCTTTTTACAGCTGCGCCTGCATTGCTCGAGTCAAATAGGTGCATGATGTAACACGTCTGTAGTAAACCGTTCGGGTCTATTGCCTCTGCTGCTTAGTAGATAGTGCTAGCATGTGATGATTAGATAAACCACGTTAGACTTATGAACAAGAATAAGCTGCAAATTTACTGGAAATTTGGAACGCGTTATGGATATACGGATCTGCATGATGAATCATTTCACCAGCGGATTTTTTGCAGAACGACCACTTCATTATGTGTTTGGCCAAAGCTCATAAAATTTCTGGTGATTTCTTCTGAACCGCCTTTATAGAGGACGTATCAAATACTTCACGTAAATTTACAAGGCTTCATTACCATGGACTCATGTTCAACCATACTAAGTTACCTGTTTTACCATATTATCGACGATTTCGATCTTTGATGCTGAGTAATGTTTTTAGTTGTAGAACTACGTGTAACAGATTGAAAAGATGGTTTGGGAATCCGTCAGTCTGAAAAATTTTTAATTGTGAGCACCAGCACCGTGCTGTTTCGCCCAGCCATTTTCTGATTCCCCTAAATTTCTATTTGAGTTGTGTCTATAATCGGCTTATTGGAGACTTACAGTAGTTTGAGAAATCGGGATAATTAATACTGCTCCTAAGCTGTTCTGATTTCAATTTCTCTTTGCACTCCACGCTGGGCTGAAAAGATATTTTCGCCCTGGAAAATAGCAGAACATGTCAAGGGCGGTTCCTGGGAGACGAGAACGACGTTCTCAGACCGCCAGTTAATATTCGCGCCGCTATCCAAAAGTTCCTAGCCCTAAAAGCAACTAGTCACTCAAATCAGAGAAAAATACTGATTAGGTTAGCTGAGTCAGAACAGTCACGCTCAGGCAAGATTCGCTCTGGCAGCTTTTTCTCTTACCGCAAAAACAAATGGATGCATTCAATTGAAGTTCGGGAAGAACAGCGAGGATTTCGCAGGCAGGAAGCTTGACGCCCTGGAGCTGTCCGACGCCCATTCAGTGTGTCTAATCGGTATGAGAAGCGGTAGCGGGAGATCAGATTGAGGGCCCATAGTTCCGACAGGAAACAATCTGAACTCGACAGTGATGGTTACATAGACTGTTAGGTTCAACGACCAACGGAAACATTGTTTGGTTAATTTTTTTATAGTGGTTCGTATTGTTTAACCGAATATGGGCAGTATGATAGCTATTGTTAATATGCTGGTAAGGAAAATGAGATCCGATTAAACCCGAAACTGAATATTTATTCATTCGAAAACACGGTATGTTAGCATCAATACAACTTAAAGAGAATCTCTTGGGTTCATTACATTTCCAGTCTATTTAGCAGGGTAGCAAGAACTTTGTCGATTGTAATGACGAGAAACTGAAATTTGGATTTTAAAAACAGCTTTAAGAATTCGGATATTGTATTCAATTAATTCAATATGGACCTTGCTACTTTGCCGTACTGGAATTATTAGTTCACTATAAGAGAGGATATCATCGTCACTCCCGCGGTGCGTTGTGTGGAACCTTATGTGGAATGTTGAAAAATATCATTGTGAGGATTCGAATTGTTATTATTATATTGTAAAATCGCAAAAAATACGATGGTATCCCGTAAGAACATCTGTTTAATCCACTGTGCACTATTCATCTGTAATGTGTGTTATAGTCACAGCTATAAATTGTGTCCAGCAAACTAATTAAGGCAGTCGTTAATTAATTAATTGATTTTCAGACAATGTCGGTGCGAGTATTAAATTCCGACGTGCAAGACTTAGGCGAAGGACCTCACTGGGATGCTGTAAACGGCCGCTTGCTCATAGTTGACATTGATCAGTTTGCGGTCATGTTTATTGATCCGGTAAACGGTGATATTACTGCCAGGCACAAATTCGGTTAGTGGGAATGCATTTGAGAGCTTTTCAATGGCCAGAAAGGTAAATAACAAGGAGGAAATTTTGCCCCCAAGTCTATTAGCCTACGTAATTGACTCGGTACGTCCTCTCGATTTAGGTTGAATGCGGTTACCATTAAAAAAAAAAAACTTTATCGAGCTGTTTTTGTACGAACCTTTTTCTCGCCAATATAAAGAAAAATATTTGGAGCCAAATGAATGTTCGCTTCGTATGTATGTTACATTAGTTTTACAAACATTAGCTTAGAGGTTATCAAAGACCTATGCTCAGAATGTTTTTCGAGTATTTATGATAAAAAAAAATATTCGCTGTTCCATTAACTCGATTAAGGAAAGCAATGGTGGAAACTACTTTTTTGAGATGACTGTACAATCTTACGGCGTATCACAAATCAAATGATTTCAATTCGAACTGAACTTAGATGACAAGGTGGGAGCCGTGATTCCTTACGCCTCGGATTCCAATATTATGGTGGTGGCAGTCGCAAATCGCCTGGTTAAATACGACTCGGTAAAAAGAGAAATCCTTGAGACACTCGTTGATGTGACAAATCACGAAAAAAACGTTCGTACCAGAATCAACGATGCCAAATGCGATCCCTATGGACGCATTCTATTTGGTTAGTATTTACACACACTGAGATATATATATACACGAAATGTATCAGTTATAATTTCAATAGTTCCCATCTCAGCTTAGATGTTAAAAATAAAATATGTTCGCTGTACTTTTGTTTGCAGTTCGGATTACAACAAGCATTATTGTATGTGAAATCTATGGTATCTAGCCATTGCTATAGCAAGTTTTAGCAACATTTGGCAAAATAAATGTATTTCGTCCATTAAATGTGTTTCGAATTAATTCTGCAAAGGAGCCATAACCAGATGATGAAATTGTCAACTTCTTCTGTTACTTTTGTATGATCTGTGTGTATTTAGGCACGATGATGTACGAAACTCCCGAAGAAGTTTACCCAGAAAACATTGGTAAATTATTTAGCTATTCTGGAAATGGAGGTCTCAAAGTGTTGCTTCAGGATGTGTCCCTGTCCAATGGGCTTGCCTGGACCCGCGACAACAAAACCTTTTTCTATATCGACTCAATCCCGAACAAAACTCTAACCGCTTACGACTACAGCGACGAGGGAGAAATATGTGAGTTCCCTTTTTAACGTCAACTACAATCAAACTAATGACAAATAATCCACATTTGCCGGGAGAAAGTAAGGTTGTCGATAACGTAATCGAGGTATTTATATGTGTTTCAATACTTGACATTACTGGAAAATAGGCCCCATTTCGGTCCCACGATCCTTGCTAGAGAATGATCATTTGACAGCACTCAACGAATTCTCTCGCTCTCCCTATATACATATATATGTATTGTCAAGAAAGTACAGTTTATATGCATTGTACTAGAATATCAGAAAATTTGCAGAGTGGTGCCTATTATTATTTGCCAGATCAAAACACTAAGTATCATATTATTGTAAAAAAAAAACAAGCGTTTTTCCTTTATATCTATACTCGTTAACGTTGTTCTGGAGTAGATAAGGAGGCATTTTTTATGTGTGGCTAATAGCAAAATTTGCCCAACTTGCTCGTGAGTAAACGGAATACTAAGAAAAGCCAAACCAAACATTTTATACAGCATGAATATACAGTATATGCATCGTTTTCTATTTGGTCAGCCCTTTACTACACGTATATACGATAGTGTGCAGGCGAGTGTGAATCACATCCGTATAAATTAGAAATATACTGCATTTCTGCAGTAGTCTGGCATATGTCACATAGATGACATGTAACCTAATTGAGTGACGAAGTGTTCCTTGCAAGGGGCTCAGTTGCTATGCATTCGCTATGGAGGAGAGAAGAAAATTATATGTTCACCTGTATACATTCATATGACGTATTTCGCGCAACTTTGCCGACCACTTATTTTTCTTCGTTCCACCATCATCATTTGCATCCTCGGCAGAATTTAGAATAAAACTACTCAGTCTATTTTCCACTGGGGTACATAGTTTTTTTTACTGACTACTGGAAGATGGAGTGGCTCGCAAGGTGCGATGGCCGTAAAGGTTCGACACTCCGCGCTCCATTACAACGCGGCCACATATTTTAGCCAAGCGAAATGGGTAGAAAAGAGGACAGACCCAAAACGAGGCTTGTTATTTCAAGTATAAAGTATACAAGACTTGGACATCTAACGGTTGCGGCTTCTAACCTTCTCCTCAAATCTCTCACCTCGATCAAAAAAAGACCTCTGTTTTGTTCTACAGGCACCACAAAAAGCATAGATCTCAATAGAATTCAATTTAGGCGATGTTCAGTTGTATCGCTGAAACGGTGACGAGGCGAGATTTATGAAGCCGTGCTGTATAAGTTGCTGATACGATTTGGATATCCGCATTAGTTATGGCTGTATGTTATTGTTAAATGTTTCGTTCCGGAAAGAAGGGAAGCAGGCTATCGCGAAACATTTTTTAAGATTATAAAAATACCTACTTCCTTTTTCCCAAATTAGTTTTAATGACGCTATTGCGCATAATCGTAAAATAATCTGGATAAAATGGATTTTTGTTAATCCTTATAGATTACTTTTTTGATCTCACCGACATTGTTATTTGATCTCTGTTCTATTCTTTCCAGCCCGAACTTGACGAATGCTATTATTATGACTAATCCAATTTCACAGTGAAATTTACGAATAATCCGTATTCAGAAGAACACTTATTATGTTTTGTTTGTAGTTTCCCATACTATTTTAGGATTCATTTTTTGTATGTAAACTACTTACTTATGCAACTTAGGCCGACGGTTTCTTAAATCAGTTCCTTTAGCTAATCGAATTCTATTCATTCAATTGCATTAACATGCAGTAAGCTTGCACACGTAAAAATTACCAATCACATTTTGGTGTATCGATACGTACACGTACTTCACCATAAGCAAAGTGTCCATAATGTTGCGAGGTCAACAAAAAACAGTTGCCGCAGAAGTAGGCAAAGCTTACAACCCCTTTTCCGCGTTTAGATTATAGCATCAAGATCATCTTCTGTGTGGTCGTATTTTAAAGCATGTTGTTCGACTACAGCGGTTAGTAAAAACCTTAGTTTACGCCTCCTCTAACAAGACGAAAAGAATTCAAGGTCTCGCGCCGTATCCGAGAAGATCAGATTCGTAGCATTATACTGTCCTGCACAGGGATGCCCATCACTAACATCACCTGGAAGTGTACGTGTCTGTTGCAAGGAGATTGTCAACAACGCGTTCCTTAGCGGCAGAACAATAGTCCGTCAACCAAGTCTATCGTGGAAATCTCTGCCTTCGTTTCGCACCTAAAAAGATAGTGTTGATGTCGTTGGAAAACGGCACAAGGCGAGCAGATATGAACGAACTCTGGCAGTTTTTCCTAGAGTTCGACAGACACAACAAAATCCGAACCTAGCAAATCAAATTCTTGACTTATATCAAAGAATAAACAACCAGTGGGGAACTGCAGTGATACGTATGGTTCAATCTGTTCGCTGTCCAATTCGTTCCGGTTACTGGCTGGTTAACACCAACTCGATGTGTTTCTTGCGTAAACAACTGTAATATGGCTAGAAGCTATAGTTCTAAAAGAGAATAGTATAAAACATTATGTAAGTAAATCTAAGCGAAAAATACGCCAACGGAATAATACAGGAAGAGCAGCTAGATAGTAACGATTATCTAAAAAGTATTTAAAGTGTATTTAAGAGTGACGTTATCTATGGTATGCAATAGAAAAATGGGCCAGCCTATGAAATTTGTTGCTTTGCTTTTAGCTGTTGAGGTTAGGGGCTGCATTAGGATTAGGCCAAATCCTGTATTTTAGAAGCAGCGGATAGCATCCAGCTGAATACGAAGAAATGCTCCAAACATTGTAGAATAGCTCCCATAGAGGTATTCTACAATGTTTGCCCAAAGCGCCTGATTACAATGTGGTTACGTATGTCTTTGCTTATAACACGGAAGCTGCCTATTGAACGAAACATCAGGAAACTATAAGGGCAAATGATATCAACAGTGGAAAAACGTCGAGACCATTGTTCGAATTTTGTTGGCTTCTCATTTCATTAAAGTGGCTACGAATATTTCAGTATCGATATGGAAGATATTGATATACGCCTGCATAGCACATATCGTATATATTACAGCAGTTTCTATACAAAATAAGTTACCCACAGGAGTTCACTCCATATTACTCCATAAGACGAAAACTGCAGATACGTCTAAACAACATAATAGCTTAACCAAAGCCCATTTTGCATAATGCACAAGTTTTTTTAGCAGGCTTACAACGTCTAAAAGAAATTACATTCGCTGTGAATTAGAACGAAATGCGAAAATCTAATTTAGCACAAGCTAGTTTAGTTTCCAACAGACATACCTGTGATACCGATGTGATTGATACTACGGAACACATGGGTGACAATACCTAATTTGACTGCTAAATCCTCTACATAACCTTGTTGAACTGTTAGGTAATTCACGTTCCTGCAAGCCTTCACGTATTTAATGCTATATTTAAAGGGCATATGACATCAAGAAGGTTTGGCGCAGTCGCTTGTTATTTCCTATTCAGTTAATGCAGGTTGTGTACTTGGGTGGTCAGTCAGTCTATTGCTTTTCGTCATGTCTTCTTTGTTTTCTTTCAGTCAGCCAAGTCCGAATAAAGCATTGCTAGGCGTGGTAGGGTCGCCGTATCAGTTGTTTTATTAACCTAACCACATTCATCCACCGTGAATACGATTAGCCTTCTTGCTCATCGAGATATTATCAAATTTTCGGAAAGATCCCTGTAGATGTATTCTCAACAGCCAACAAACTGACACAAATTGCTGGGAGGATAATGTTTCCTGTGTAAACACATTGAGACCCCAGAGATGCGACGAAACATTGGAAATGTGAGATCGCATCTTCTGTCCCTATTAAGGGGATATGCCTGTGAAACCCTATCTTATTTAGATAGTGAAATTTGGCATTATTGGTGACATTCGTTAATTGTGAACTGTGTAAGAATGTTAATTGGTAGAGGATTTGGTTATAACGCTGTATATTCATGTTGAATATTTCCCAACTATTTTCTTAAGCATATCTAAAAATGTCGTCGAACTGGCTGTTGTCTATTTCTTGATAATTTCACATGCTATGATGCGAAATGCTCCGCTATGGTCAGCACCCAAAAGAAATCTTTGCGAGTTTTGAACTGCACGCCTTGTATGTCTCTATGTGTTCTTCTTGTAATAAAACACGTATCTTTTCCAAAGCGTTACCCTAAAGTCCCCTAACTTAGTTGCTGAGCCTTTTTATGGAGCTGAGTCGTCCAAGCAACCCCTCGTAACACAATCCCTGTACCGAGATAATTAACCCAACGAAAATTTATTTTTAGTGAGCGCGCTCAATACAACGCATTACATCATATATACTTTGGGATCATCTCCTATTTTCATAGTTCATCTTTTATAATCAAGGCCACATTTCTCAAAACCCGTTATGGCCTGCTTATTTCTCTGCGTCCATGCGTCTTCATTCTAGCCGTTCGCACTCTCCTTTTATTCTTACGTAACAGCATTTCTTTGTGGAAGTGTAGGGTTGGTCAAACGGGTTTTTTTGTTCTTCACTCATTTTCAGCCTCGTCTACATTCTCGTAGCTGTTAACCCATGGCCTGCGATGGCTCCTATTTCGGCTGCTGCATTGCTGTTGTTGCCTATCCTAGCAGGCTGCTTCGGCCTGTCATTCTGTGCAGCCGACGGTATTCGGGCCGGTTAGTTTCCCCTACTTCGCTGGCCGTTCTTCCTCTGGCCTGCCTTCCTAAGGTCACGTTCTATGAGTACGCCAATGCAATGCGACCCGTATTTGGCTGTTTTAGCTAGAGAAGGAGGCAGAACGCAGGCAAGGGACGGTCATGTAGCCGTATCATCTATGCCACACATCCCACGTTATAGTCAGCGATGTCAGTTATATGTGTCGTTCTCTAGTGAATTCGTCCAATAACGGACGGCCATAAGCTCTTTTTCAGCAAGAAGCCGCCTCAACACTACTTGAAAAAGTTGCATTACCCCATCTTCTAGTTCTCCTTTAGCAGCTTGGCTGGTGAGGTCTGGTCTGCTTCGTTTGCCTTTCGTTCCCAGGCTTATGGTTGATTCAGGGGGTGTCGCACCTCGACTTGCTGCTCTCTTACTTCGAATGTCCTGCGTCACGGAATCTGCTTCTTTAGCATGAGTAAGTAGATGTGAGCATTGTATTCGAGTGCGAAGGACAGACCGCTTGAAGAGCGGTTTCGTTGGCTATCATCACACACGGCAAGAAACTATTTTAACTTATCGATTTCGAGGACTCACCCGTCTGCAGATGATGATTGGTTCGATGTTCGTGGCCCATTGCGAGTATCCCCCAAAAATTATACAAGTTTTAGAAGAGCCTGCCCTGCGGAGGTTTGGTCGCCTAATAAGCCACGTTTCTATATAACATTGACATACCTTTAATGTTTTTGAGCTTGCATGTTACTAACTTCACAATAGGAAACTTTGAATTTTTTTATTAATAGTTCGATATACAATTAGAGCTATGTAGAGCAAAAATTATATTCAAGGAGAACATTATTTGATTGGGAGTCTGACTATACTGACTGAAACACAAGCCAGTCTTAAACCCTTAAAACAGTCGATAATATTTATCAATAATATTATTAGTGAAGCTTTTTTATCAGCTGCAAAGCAAATACTTTTTTTTATTTTGACAAAGGTGTTTTCGTACGGCGAAAAAAGTATTTTTGATAAGGTCATCGTGAAACATAGTTGAAAGCCTTGGCTTTATTTTACACCTCTATTACTTATTCTTTAACGAATTTATTTGTTTCACAATATGAAACTTTAAAGCTGTTCATAGAATTCTGATTTGAAAGGTAGAGAAGCCGAATCGGAGCTAATTTTTTATAGATTTGAGAGGCTTAATAAAGCTTTACCAAGATAGCCAAGAGCGTCCTATATTAGTGTTCTTTTATAAGGAAAGATCCAGCGTCCTTTTTGTCGGCTAACTTGCTTACGACCTCCATTGCAAGATCTCATGGCAGAAGAACTATTACCAATTCAAGCGTCTTTTTGTTACTGTGTATTTCGAGTAACAAATAGCTATTGATATGTTTTGATGCTTTCAAATACGCTATAACATCTGATTGATTTTGCATCAGACAGGCACAAGGTGGATTGGATTGAATACCAACTAAAATTCAGTTAATCTTATGCAGAGCACCTTGCCGGTTGCGGGAAACTCATGAGCGCCAGCTATATCACAGACCGTTGATAAGGATATATATACAGAAGTCCAATTAGGACGGACAGACTGCGAGCCTTCATGAAGAGCGGTGACCGCGTTGAATTTTTTTTGCCGCTCAAACTAGAAGGGCTATTGCATATGTGACTTGTTGCATGAACTAGTGGCAAAACCATCCAGCGGTGATCATTGGGTCGTATAGACACGATAAAGAAAGCTAAAATGAAACAGGCCTATAAATAGGTAGTGAATATTTGGGCGTGGTAGATGCAGCATTTCAGGGGTCACTTTGCGACAAGAAATCGAGATACGTGACTATGTAGAGGACAGTCGTACTGTAAGAAGCGACGGTATCAGCATCAAATAGGGTGGCTCCCGTAAGTGAAAATAGTTTCACTACGATAAATGTATTTCGGTTTGCATTCTAATAAATAAATATATATAT